TGAGAGAAAGCTGACTCCAGAACTCTACATCCATGTGACTTGTCTTGTCTGGATTTGATCCCAATGTCATTTTGCAGAGTCAAAACCTAATTTTCAACACCGAAGCAGTCCAGACTGAAACACGAATTTGGACACATCCATCCATCCTGGTGGACAGCTGCACATCTTATAGCAGCCACTTTTATTTTTAAATCATGAAAAAGCACGTCTGCAGCATCAAACACTTCTTTCATAACTTCGTCATCGCTGAAAGATGTTTTCCGCAGTGWTTTTTTGTGTTGAGGCAGGTACTGTACGGGGCTGCATTAGCAGCCTTACCTTAGTTTAGGAGGGGGAATCCATCTCGTAGCATCTGTGCATTGTTKTGAAAGAAATGCAGTTCCACGTTATCCTTTTTGGACAAACCAAGGTAGCGCTCGAATTACATATGAGTCCTCTTCCCACTCCAGGTGAAAATAATAAGTTTTTATTTGCTTGTTAGCTGTCTTTCGTTCATTTTTTTCCGCCTCGCTGCTTTGTTGTGAACACGTGACCCTAAAGTCTCACGAGACCATGTTCGGAGTGCTGTTTCATCGCACCAAAACTCACGAGACTACGTCTGTGAGCGGAGCTGACGAGCCGGCTCTCAGCTATTAGAGGAAGGTTGCACTCCGTGAGCGACTGGGAACCAGCTGACGAGCTACCGGTCGATCACGATCGACTGGATGGGCACCCCTGAACTAAAGTGATGACACTCACACTGTACATGCTCAGTTAGATGCCCCACCTTGCAAAGAAAAAGTAAGAAGTTTCAAAAACTGCTCCAGGATTTATTTGAAAAAAAAAAACTGTTTTTGAGGTACCAAAGTATTTTTTGCCCAGTTTTATTTTTGTTAAACTGTTTTTGTGATCCAGCTCAAACTTATATGGTTTAAACAAGTGATATGTTGACTTTTAACTAATATAGTTAACATGTATCAGCTTATTTAGCTAACACATGAGGTTTTATCATGGCTGACAGGAAGGGGGACAGTTGCAACAGTTGCAACTGTACGACTGTACAACTTTACGATAAATCCATATAAAAACAGAGCACATACAGATGATATTAAGATGTTGAAATTAAGTTTACACTTAAAAGGGTATTGGGTATTCATGGCAATTTTATAGTTTAAAACATAAAAGCATTTAAGATGTATTTTCTGCAGTTRTTGTTTTCAACAAACAATGGTTTTAAAAC